TTAATAAATAAAAATTTCTAACTTTATTTAAATATTAAAAAATATTTGGTATTCTAGTCACGTCTAAATAGCTTTTAGTGATGATGTAAATTAAAATAGACCAGTTTAGAGCCAAAGATAGTTAAACATAATTAAAATAAAAATAGTAAATATTATAATACTTTTGTATTAATGTATATTTATAAACTATAAGAATTTTAATTGTTAAATAATAAATCACTTAATGATCGATCAATTTAAAATCAATATTCACTTTTATTATTTGATTTGATTAAAAAATTGTTTATATGTAATCAATTAAGTAATTCAATTTTTAATTGATAATATGAGTGAGAAACTGATCAAATCATTGATTATGATTTTTTTGTCAATTAAAAGCTTTATGTTAAGGCAATGCTGATCAATTAATATTTTTAAATAAATATTTATCACAATTACTTCATTTTACTCAATAATCATTCAAAAATCCTTTTACTTATATTATAAAATTGTTTATAAATATATAAATGAAAAAACTGTATACAACGATATTTAGCATATGAAAGCTTTTTTAATAATTTTACTTTTTCATATAATTTTATATTATCTTATTTAGCTCAAAATGCCAGATAAATAATTTAATTATAACTTGATAATGATTGTTTCATCAGGAAGTTTTGAGGTGTTGGTTTGCACCAATATACGCATTGATCAACACCAATTCAATGATCAACGTGATACATATCATTGAAAAACGCCATCTACTAGAGTTTATCAATACATACCTGATAATATACGCGTTTTTTAACACAATGTGTTGTTTAACACATTATACACCATTAAACGATGCTATATACTAACAGGGTATTTTAATAATATTTTTTTAACTAAGTTAATTTTATTGAAGTTAAATTAAAATATATATATATTAACAAAATATTCATTTTGTCGTTCAACCCGTTTAATTACTTGTATTAATTCTATGATTGACTCTACAGGTACGACATTGTACGTATTTGTAATTTGTAATAAAAGACAATCATATTTATATAAATGATGTTCATCATTTTTATAGCGAAAATCATATCATTGTACAAGAGCAAGGTAAAAAGATGAATAACCTTCGATTATAACATTAATTAACATAAGAACCTATATAATATAAGTTATTCGTCAATTATTAATCATGTAGAATATCAATTTATTGATAGAATAAATACATTACCTTGCCAAAACAAGCACCCTCATATGTATTATAGTCTTTGGACTCTTCCTCACTCATGTTAATCAACACATTACTAAATGATAGCTTATTATAATACATACTATTCACTCTGATACAATCACCACTTGAAGAGATATTAGCATAACTATACCATCCAATTTTAGCTTCTCTAACCATTTCTTCAGATAAATTATTACATAAATCAAAAAATTCATTTAATGTTAGAATAAAATGTTCTAAAGCTACTAAAGCTTCATTAGCCAAATTATTTTTAGATTTGTAATTATCAAAGAACGTATCGAAATCTTTTAAATAAAAAGAGCCTAATAAGCCATTCATCAGAGTTTTTTGTTGACTTCTCTTGATAACTGTATGTTGACGCATGTATTTTAAAGTTACATTTCGGTAAACCTATATATAAATAATGTCATTTTGTTTGCATATTATTAATTATATATATCATGCATAAACTAACCGTTTTAATCATCTGATCCATTAGTTGGCACTTATTGCTGGCTTTATAGGATTTTTTAACGGCATCTTTATATAAATTTTCATACGTTTCTGTTGTAAACCCATTAATGGTACCATATTTTTCAATTGATGAAATAATATGGTAGTGCCAATTATGTAACTTTGGCAACTTGAGTTTCGACGGTGAATATTTTTGAAATAGCTTTACAAATAATATTGCCCAATTTGTAACTAGATTCTATAATAAAATAAAAGCGTTAATCCTAAATATATGGTATATAAAATATAAATTCTAATCATAATACCTTAAAGTTGTCCAGTTTCGATTCTAAAAAATACTCTTGACGCTGTATAAATACATCTTATTCCAACGATAATATACATCAACTAATGCTTCATCTGCTCGTTTAGCATGATTTGCGGTTGTTGTTTCTTTATGGTGTTTTATGATGATCCCTTTAATGACGAAAATAAACACCTTCATTATATTATGAAACTCATCAGCTGTAAATCGCTTGATATTTTCAAGGCCATTCTTGAATATTTTGAGGTCAGGAAATCTTGGAATTCTAGCTAGTTGGTTGTTAAGTTCATCGACCGCTATTTGACCACACAATTCTTTTAGTAGTTCTCTAGTGTAGGTCACTTGGTAGTTGAATAACCCCAAGTCAAGGTGATGCATACGATTAGGAATCATTACCACGTAAATATTTAATTGACTAAGTATAAAGAATAATACGTTTAAATATACTGTGTAACTTGACGCATAATTTACTGCAATCTAATATTATACAGTAATACTTACGGGTATTTCCAAAAAATATTCTCTATATTATGTAAAGAATACTGCTTTGTAACACTTTGTTCGACAAAATCTTTCATAGTATCTGGTGTTCTCTAAATAATTTGGTCATCTGATAACTCTACATTATTTAATTTATCACCTTCTACTAAACACATATGACATAGGTGTTTACAATTAACCGAGTTAAATGTTAAAGTCACCGCAGCATTTTCTAGAAGATCTCCTAGCATCACAAAAATAAATGGATAACACCATAGTTCATCATTGTCTGTTTGAAGATCAAATCCATGGTTTTTATAATCAAGCAATGGATGTATTAATATATCTAAAGCATATTGGTAAAAAGTATGCTTTGCTAATTTAAAGCCTTTAGATCTTTTTTGAGAGATAGATTTTGCCTTCAAAATTGGAAGATAACCCAATAGAACTTTGGTATCAGGTTTATTTCTATGCTAACTAATTATATTGCCCAATATCAAAAAAATTGGATGTTTACTAGACTTTCCCAAATGGACGCAAGTTGTCGCATCAGAATACAGGATGATAAACAAAACCTTTGCTCCTTCAGGAAGCGACCAATGTACTCTTTCCCACCATTTCCATTATATTGCTCATGATAAATTCTCTGCCCGTTATGATACAATGGTGTAAATTTAAAGGTACAATTGTCATATATTTCCTGGTTGCTTAACAGTTCCTTTACAGCATCAAAAATTTGACGGTAACGAAGGTAGTATGTTGTTTCCTTATATGTCATTATAGGCATTTTTTTAAAGAAGATATGCGGTACATTGATTTGATCTATTAATCGACGGCATTGCTTAACAGAAGTGGGTAATCTTACATCATCTCGGCAAATTTTACGCGAAAATTTAAGTATATCGCTTCCACATGCATCAGATAAATTCCACTTTGTAAGCAATTCCATAAAATCTCCAAACTCTTCACTCGGTAACTTAGGCCTATTTGTTGTTGAACTACTAATATGGAAAGACTCAAAGACTGGTGTAGGTTCAACGTTAATTAACATATACTTTTTATATTAAATACAGTAAAATATTAATTGTTAGTTTAAATAATGACATTAATTATCAAAATTTTTTGTACTAACTAAATATTAAATAAATGGCATTGATGTATGCATCAAATTTTTTGTACTATTGTTATTTATACTATAAAGTAGTTTAATTAATGAGAATCTTACTTGAACATCATCAATCAAATCTTTTTCTTCCCCTTCTTTCTCATCTTCTTCCTCCTCTTCTTCAACGTCTTCATAGTGGCTAACTAACTCTTCTTCTACATATTCTTCTACATCATCTTCATTCTCTTCTTCAACATTAATCAAATCTTCATCAGGGTTAAACAACTCTTCTTCTCTCTCCTCATCTTCTTTATTTTCAACAATTTGGTCTTCGTAGTTCATCACATCATCACTTTCTATTAGGTTATTTTGTACCTCTTCTTCATTTGCTTGTCATATATTTTCTTCAATGATTTCATTTAAAATTCTATCAATTAAACTATCATGAGTTTTTATGTGATTTCTTAAAGAAGAACGACAAGAGAAAGTTCTTTCACATTGTGGACATATGTGTTGCATTTTTGTAAATGATTTATATTTAAAGAGGTAAAATATTCAATATCAAGAATAAATAAAATTTTCATTTTTTTTATTTAATTAGCTGCATCAAATAACAATGGTGAAAGTGATGTCAAATAAACAATGATTATTGTTAAGCCATCAGCAATTATAAAAATGATGTCGAGTAACAATAGAATATAAAAAAATATGAAATCATATTTAGTATTCTGTATTATAATATGAAATATGATTTTGCGATGGTAATATATTAATACGTTTATTAATGTAATTTTTAATTTTGCGTAATTTTTTAATTTTGCATTTATTAATGTAGTTTCTGACTTTTATGATAGCATGATATGAACTAAATTCAGGACCGAATTCAAGCGTTTATTAACGATAATATAAGTTATACGTTTATTTATGTAATTTCTATAGAGGTATGATGATATATTTACCGATGTTTTATGTAATGTATTACATTTTTAAAATTAATAAAAGAAAAATGAAAACGAGAATGAATAGCTTATTCTTCATATCATCCTTTACTAGAAAAATATAATTTTCAATTTTCAAGCAATAACCCAAAAATGAGTGGCAGTTAAGACAGATTTACTATTGGCACATCCTCTTTAAAACGTCCACAAGTTAGAAGATCAAAACATTTGAGTAAAGATGTAATTATATTCGTTATTAATTTTATATACGTTTATTTAAATTTACTTACATCTATATATTATATTTTTCTAGATATCAGAAGATGGTATAAAACAATTCTACTTTATTTTGTTAAATATTAACAAATGCACTAATCAATAGTTACAATAATAATAAAGCATCTAAAGATAATACAGGAGTAGTTCTACCAAAAAAGACCTGTATAAAAAATATCAATTTGTTTTCCAATAATAAATTGATGCCTGTTGCTGTCAATGATACTACCACTATCTTCACACACATCAGACCCACACCAGCCAAGCCAATCACCATCTCCACATCCATCAAATCCACCACCATCTTCACACCTATCAAATCCACCACTATCTCTACCGCCATCACCAAGAAGCCCAACATTAAGCCTAACACCATTACCTCCACAACTAAAAAATCATCAAGCCAACATCACTACCTCTACCCCTAAAAAAATCATGCCTACTCAATTAATGGTGAGTTTTTATTATTTCATTTGATACCTTTATATTAAATTGAATTTTTAATATATTTATCATATTTTTATATCAGCTAACGGAAATGCAATTGGTTAGCACCTCGTCATCTTCATCATGAATGGAAATACAATCAACTGGTGTTTTATTATCATTGTCATCGCATCCACTTACGTAAAGCAAAAAAACTGCCGAAGGTTCGAGTTTATAGTATACGTTACAAACATATTTATTGCATGATATTTATTGTTATTAATATATATATATTTATCATAATTAGCTACCGTTGATTCGCGCACTTTAGATAAATTGTTGCTGCTCTGCCAAAAGAACAGTGCAAAGCTCAATCAAATTTCAAAAAGGCAAGACGAGTTAGAGACGATTATTATCGAGCAAAAAGATAAAATTGATGAAATTTTATCAAAATTCGAAGAGCATAAATTCAATACAGAAATTGGGAACAGCAAAAAGGAGGGTAAAGATAAAGGAAAAAAAAATAGAATCGAATTTTATCAAGTAAACATATGCATGTTTATTATTATTTCTTTGTTTTACTCTATCTTGATTTTAATTATCAACTTAATTTATATTACGGGAATCGATTCGAAAATTATCCTATGAGTTATTTCACGAACACAAGCAACTAACAGATGATAAACTCAAAGTACACCTAAAGGCAAAATTAGATGGCGATGAATATTGCACAAATCAGCTTCAAAAACTGAAAGACAATGACATTAATTACAACGATCTATGGGATGAAAAGCTATATTCAGCCGTTAATATTTTTATTTATATTTTTAGTTGTCATAATTTATATTGTTTATTAACTAATAATTTATTTGAATAAACTAAAGTTACTTAAGGCGAATCGTATCAAGAAAGGGTACTATATTTGCTGTGTAAAAGAAAGCCTATGGTCTGTCTTCGGGTTTAACAGGATTAAGCCCTTTAGAGACAACTGGTTCAAGAAGCAAATAAAAGATTGGAAGACAAGCAAAGAGGTAAAAGCAGTATATGATGATCTATATTGCCCAAGTAATCCAAATGACCTGTCATCAGACACATATATCGTATTGATCATCAAGTCTGCTTTTGTATCTGATAAGGAACTAATGCGAGAAAATGCTGTTTGAACTCAATCAGTACTCGAAACAATTTTTAATGTTGAATATTTCTTGACGAAAATTGATATCGAAGTGATTGAGTCGTGGAAAGATGTTATTGAATATAACAAATAGTGTTCCGCACGGATTCAGATCTGTCAGATTCGGATCTAATTCGGATTCAGATTCAGATCAGATCAGATCTGTCAGATTCGGATTCAGATTCAGATCTAATCCGTCAGATTTAGATTCCGATTTGAATCTGATCCATCAGATTCAGATTCAGATTCAGATCTGATCCGTCAGATCTGAATTCAAATTTTTTAAAGCTGAAAAGTTCCTTTTCAATAAAAAGGGACGAATTTTCGGACTTCTTTAGAGCTGAATATTTGTTTTCTTTCATTGAAAAGGAACAAATTTTCGGACTTCTTTAGAGCTGAATATTTGTTTTCTTTCATTGAAAAGGAACGAATTTTCAGATCTCTTTTAGAACTGAAAAGTTCCTTTCATTGAAAAAGAACTAATTTTCAGATCTCTTTTAGAGCCGAAAAGTTCCTTTCATTGAAAGGGAACGAATTTTCGGACTTCTTTAGAGCCAAATATTTGTTTCCTTTCATTGAAAAAGAACGAATTTTTGGATTTCTTTTAGAACTGAAAAGTTCCTTTCATTGAAAAGGAACCAATTTTCAGATCTCTTTTAGAGCTGAAAAGTTCATTTCATTGAAAAGGAACGAATTTTCAGATCTCTTTTAAAGCTGAAAAGTTCCTTTCATTGAAAGGGAACGAATTTTCTGACACTTTTAGATCTGAAAATTTGTTCTTTTCATTGAAAAGGAACGAATTTTCAGACCTTTTTTAGAGCTGAAAAGTTCCTTTCATTGAAAAGGAATGAATTTTTGGAACTCTTTTAGAGCCGAAAAAGTTCCTTTTAATAAAAAGAAATGACTTTTCAGAACTCTTTTAGAGCTGAAAAGGTTCCTTTCATTGAAAAGAAACATTTTCGGATCTCATTTAGAACCGAAAATTCATTTTTTCAATAAAGCTTTTTGATTCAGATCGGATCGGATTTGGATTTAAACTGATCCGTCAGATCCAGATTTGAGATTTGATCCGTCAGATTCAGATCAGATCTGGATTACAATGAATCTGTCGGATTCAGATCAGATTCAGATCCTGAAAAATGAAAATCGGATCAGATCGGATTTAGATAAAATCTGATTCGATCTGATTCTGCAGAATACTAGTAACGAACAGGTAACATTATAAATATTTATTGCTTCATAAACTTTATTTCTTATAATATTCTATCTTTAATTAGAATGATGAGGATGAGCAGTACGAGAAGGAAAAAGAAGTACAGGATAGCCCGCAATACAGTGAATATGCTTCCACTGATAAAAAGTTGTATGATCTTTATTAAAGCCTAGAAAATGATGCGAATTTTATGGATTAAATGTGTTTAACGCTTTTAATTATAAATTAACCAATTTTACTTTATGATGTATTGAAATACATATGCATTTTAGTGTAGAAATTTATAATAAAAATTACCATAAATTACAGTGATTGCTATTGTATTTTTTCGTCAAGCAATACATTAATCAACACTAGTATACTCATTTTTCAACACTGTCGTGTGATACCATTATTTCACTATGTATTATTTTACATCTATCATGTATTAATCAATGCTCTTTTAAACAGCGTTGATTGACATAGGGTTCGTATATCAACACTTTTTGGTGTTGATCAATACATAACGTATATTGACACATTCTATGCCTGTTTAAAACTTCCTGATATTGAAACTTCTGGTAATATCTTTTTTTATTTTTCTCATCACGTAATAATTTCTTAATATTCAATAATTTTATTAAATTCTAATTTTATTAATGTAAGTTTATGAAAGTTATAAATTGTTATAATGTTTTCAAAATTTATCAAATATTTATAAATAGATTTTATAAAATTTTCTAATTTAAATTATAAATATCTAAATATTTTAATAAAAGACTTACAATTAATGAATAAGATCATAATAAAAAAATTACAATTCCTGTACAAACAAGTAAAAGGAAAGAAAGAAAAACAATAATTATAAAGCTATTTTAAAATTTTTTAATAATTTATTAATTGTAATAAATATTATACAATTTAAATTGTCTAATACATGATTTATTATAATTATTGTTAATTATAAAATTATTGGATATTAATATAAGTTATTTTATGAGAAGTTAAGTATATCACAGTTTTTTTTCTATTGTAACAATTAAAATTTTAGATGGATTTAATTGGTAGATTAGGAAGTCAATTTTATTGCTATATAGATCTTTTAGGAAGATCATTTTGTCTATTTTATTGCTGTTGATCATTATGTAAATCCCTAGATATTAATTTTATTACCTTTGATAATCACATAGATCATAGATGTCCATTTAATTACTTGCAGATTTAGCAATTTTATTGACATAGCAAATTTATTACCTAGTAAAATGGCAACTTTATTTTCTTTAATATTTTTAGTTTAATTTATTTTATTAATTAATCAACATGTATAAATATCTTTGTATTTTATTAAGTCTCATTACCTTTCTGGTAAAAGTCACTGATAAGATGACAATCTTTTAGATACTGAACTTACATATTATATTAATAAAGAAGTATAATCAACTAAGTATAAAACTTATCCTTCGCAACCTTTTGAAACTGTTATTAGTTATTTGTGATCCTTTTTTATTTATGTAATCCCTTTAATTACTATTAGTAAACTTATTGTATGATATTGTATTAATTCACTGTATTGACTTAAAGTCTCTAAAGTATAATCTCTGAAATATCTATAAGTTACTGTAGGAAAAAAAACTATGGTATTTCAATCCTCATAAAATTATTAAGTTATACCCAGTTACAGTAGCGGTCATAAGTATCCGACCGCCTCTAACTCCAGCTACAAGTAAGTAAATTCAAAATTTTTTTTTTTAT